GACTCCTCAGGACTTTCCTCAGGATCCTCAGACTCCTCAGGGCTCTCTGTGGGATCTTCTGACTCCTCAGGACTTTCCTCAGGATCCTCAGATTCCTCAGGGCTCTCTTTGGGATCTTCTGACTCCTCAGGATCCTCAGGCTCTTCAGGGCTATCTTTGGGATCTTCCGACTCCTCAGGACTTTCCTCAGGATCCTCAGACTCCTCAGGGCTCTCTGTGGGATCTTCTGACTCCTCAGGATCCTCAGGCTCTTCAGGGCTCTCTTTGGGATCTTCTGACTCCTCAGGGCTCTCTTTGGGATCTTCCGACTCCTCAGGACTTTCCTCAGGATCCTCAGACTCTTCAGGGCTCTCTGTGGGATCTTCTGACTCCTCAGGATCCTCAGACTCCTCCAGGCTCTCCTTGGGCTCCTCTGGGCTCTCCTCAGGATCCTCGGGCTCTGCGGCGCTTACCAAGGGTTGTTCCTGGGGTTCCTCATCGGGGTCCAGCAGCCAGAACAGCTCCTGGGGTTTCTCCTTGGGCTCCTCCAGCTCCTGGGGTCCCTCATCGGGGTCCAGCAGTTTGCCGAGCTCCTTCAGGAGCCCCTCAAAATCCACCTTCTCCACGGGGACTGTGGGAGGAAGAGGAGAGCTGGCATCGCCCACCTGGGCAGGGAGCCCCAGGACCCCCCCCCAGTCTGGGGGACACCCGGGACACCCTGACCCCCCTCCCGCACCCACCAGGACCTTCCCGGTGCCACCCACAGTACCACCCCAGTGCCACCCGCAGTACCACCCACAGTACCACCCCGGTGCCACCCCCGTGCCACCCCGGTGCCACCCGTGTCCCCGGCTCACGGGCAGCGGCCAGGCTGCCCACGAGCCCGGCCAGCAGCAGCGCTGCCCAGAGCTTCATCCTCGCGGCGGGTTCGGGGCACGGATGGCGAGCGGAGAGCACGGGATGAGCCCGGCCCGGGCTCTGCCCCTTATGAAGGGACCGGGGCAGGGCTCGGGCACCTGTGCGATTTTCCAGGTGTGGCCAGGTGCCCGTGCCAGGCCGGGATTAGCCCGGATTAGCCCCGCAGCCCCCCCGGCCGGCCCAGCCCCAGCCCGGAGCAGTTCCTGCCCCCCCAGATCAGGATCCCCCACTCCAGAGCAGCCCGGAGCACCCCAGAGTGCCCAGGGCACCCCGGTGACCCCACGCAGCCCCGCCCCAGCGCTGGGTTTGCAGTGACACTGATGGGAAAAGGACAGGAGGGGACATTGGGGGACATCTGGGGACAGGGAGGGACAGGGGGACGGGGGATGTGAAGCCAACCCAGTCCCAGCCCTGGTGGGGATATCTGGGGGGCAGGTGATGGGAATTGTCCCACTGGAGCACCACGGGAGCGTGGCTCTGCT